TCAAACAATCAACCCAATTACCCACCCCCATTATCCCCTTTTATTTCTTAGAGATTTACCCTAAGAATCAACTTTTCCTCGTTCATTTATTCCTAAGGATTATCCTAAGGAATCAACAAGAAATCCATCGTTGCCAGGGTTTTCTCAACAGGCACTAAATCCATAGTTACCAAGGTTTTCCCAACAGACACTAAATCCATAGTTACCAAGGTTCTCTCAACAGACACTAAATCCATAGTTACCAAGGTTCATCTACACAGTACTAAATCCATAGCTACCATCGTATTTATATAAGGCACTAAATCTATAGCTGCCATGGTTTTTAGAGTACACCGGTGAACATCAAGTACACAACACCTACAAGTTGCGAGCCTGCTAGTGTTCCACTGGACTGTCTAGAATCGTCCGTGGTTGTCATACATACTCTGCTGAATGACGGGGCCATCATTTGGGTAAAGGTTTCACTCATTTTTCACCTGTCACCCTCATCTCATGATCTATATCATCTTTCGTCTCATCCTCAAACTCATCTTTTCTCACATACCATCTATTTCATCTACCCATGTTCTACCCAACATATGTGTAGATATAAATTACATATATAGTTTAAATCATTTAAAAACCTGTATAAAACATTCATTCAACATCCATCTCAAGTAAACAAACAATATATATATATATATATATATATATATATACACACACACATAGCACGTATTTTATAACAAATACTTCATATATATGTGTAAGGTGAAAGTAACTACACACTCACTTGATAAGACGATTATCGGACAACACTACGGCTCTTCAAGTAGTATTCTTAGATGAAACCGGGATATCTTCACAAACCGGGCTTCTCGCGGGCAGGGCTTCGACTTAAAACTCTTTTCTTCTCGGGATCTTCGGGGCTTCGGGACTCGCTTCGGGGCTTCGGGACTCGCTTCGGGTGTCGGGATGATACTGAGGCTTCGGGAGTACTTCAAGACAGCTAGAGAGGGTATCGGGAGTGAGAGAGTGAAGGAATTAGAAACTATGGTCGGCTGCCCTTCGGTTTCTATTTATAGGGCCATTTTTCTGGATTTACGTTGTGAATCCCAAAATTCACGTCGTGAGTTCAGTCAGGCATAGGTCATTGCGTTCGTCATCATTCCACTTGCTCTGGAAGGCGTCACTTCTGAGTTTACGTCGTGAACACTGTGTTCACTTCGTGAATTCTGACAAAGTGTCGGGGTTTGTGCCCCGAACTTCAGAAATTCCTATCTTTCGGATACGAGCTCTGTTTTCGACGTTCTTTATATGCACGTGTAGGTGAGATTATGCTCTACAACTCTCGTTTAGACTCCGTCGGCTAATTTTGACTTTAACTTTTATTATATTATTTTTAGTAGGCCGGGACAGGAAAACTTCGTTAGGAATTCACAACTCCTTCATCTGACGTCCGTTTTCGTCTGTCTTTTTACCGTTGGACTACTATCGACGAGATCTTCGATTCTCGTTTAGATTGTTTCGGCTAGAAACCACTCGATCTTATATTCGAACTTTGGGCTGCATACCGCTAAGTCGAAACTTCGAAAAACCATAACTTCCTTATACGAAGTCAGATTTAGACGTTCTTTTTATGTACGCTCTCGGTTTAACGTATTCTACGACTTTCGTTTAGATCACTAAGGCTAAATATCGCTCTATCGTAAATTCACTATTTACGTCACGCAGTTTCGTACCGGTTCTGTCACGAAACTTCGACAGGTCATAACTTCTTCGTTATAACTCGGATTTCGGCATTCTTTATATATCCGGAATCCTTGTCACGACCACTACAACTTAGTTAAGATTATTCATTCTAAATAATCTTTTATCAAAAAGTCACTTTTGATGCTTATCGTCTCTAAATTGACTAGCCCGGATCTACGGGCGTTACAATACCCCTATGCTTTTACTGTTTTAACGTTTTCAGGAGGGGAATACAAGCCAAACACAAATGATTTTGTGAATTTATAAAAAATGATTTCAACACGATTAGAACTGATGCAATTGATACAACCATACGTTTTTCACATTTTTATAAAATATTTAGATATTTTATCCCTTTTGTAATATGCTGAGCATAAGGGACATTTTCAACTTACAGCTAAAGTTGCATAGTTTTCAGATCAATACGTGAACCAAATACATAGCATACATGTAAACTATAATAGGTATAGTTTGGGGTTTCAAGATACAGTTTTACAAATTCAGAGCTTATACATTGATAAACATATAAACTATGACAACCTTAGTTTATGATATACATTACTACTTTCGGATTCCAAGAGTACAACACTAAATAATTATTTAAGTATAATTATTATTACTCTACAAAGTATACAAACGGATTCAAATACAAGAGAACAATACAGAACTACACGTAAAACTAGTTAATGTAGGATTGTGAGATACTACTTCAATTTGTACACTAAATAATTATTCCGTTGCCATATTTTTCTAGTTTATGAAACTATTTTTGAACTAAAACCCAACAACTAGAAACTGTAGCTTTTAATTATGGAGAAATGTTTGACAAAAGTAACTGTTAGGTTTTAGACGTGTAAAATTAGTTAACAACTAAAAAGCTAAAAGCTTCGTAAAACTAAATCTCAAAAACTAATTGAAATGATTTTTGAATTTAGAGTATTTTGTTTAAAATAAAAGATAAAAGCTTTTGCTTCCAAATGAAGGTTTTATTTATTTATTTATTATTAAATTATAAAGCTACCGAAAGCTCTATGCCAGACCGCACGCCCCATATCCCCATTAGTGGACTTGAATATTGATTTATATTTTTACAACTCAAAAGTTATTTTTTTTTTTTTTTGAAATTGTTTGGGTTGGACTAGGGTCAAACCGGTTCACGTGATTCGATACTTTGTCACAAAGTATAGCTAAACAAATCATGCCAAATTTAAAGGGGTTGATTGCATGTATTTAGTTTTTAAAGAATAACAACACATATAAAATCATGCAACATTTGCATATGCATAAACGTGTATCACAATTGTATGTATCACATCAAGTTTTTGTCGAAGAGAGGAAAAGTAAACAAGTCAAGCTTTTGTGGGTTTTGAAAGAAATGATACTATATTATAAAGGAAATATTTTTCCTTTCACAACATTCATTTGAAACTCCCATGTAATTTTCCTTTCATCACATTTATTTGAAACTCCCATGACTTTTCAATTTATTTCTAATAATAATTATAAGTTGGTTAGTAAGGTTAAATAAATATCAAACATAAAGTGTAATCATATATAAACTAAATTTCAATATTAAAATAATATCTTTACTTCTACTTATAAAGTTATGTTTTTTAACTTTTAACATATTATACTTAATTTATTAGTTTTAATATATTGTTGAATGAACCATTATCATTTTAAAGATATAATTTTGAAACAATTTGTATAAAATACTTAAATTATTAATTTAAATATAACATTACAGAGTCAACTTAAATATAAATACATGTTTAACCTAAATAACCCAAAAAATATTTTGTAAATAGTTAAAAGTTATAAATTGTAGTGTCTTTCTAATAATGATTATAAATTGGTTAATAAGGTTAAATAAATATCAAACCTAAAGTGTAATCATAAATAAACTAAATTGTAATTTTAAAATAATATCTTTACTTCTACTTATAAAGTTATGTCTTTAACTTTTAATATATTATACTTAATTTATTAGATTTAAAATGTTGTTGTATGTAAACCATTATAAGTTTAAAGCTACAACTTTCAAACAGTTTGGACAAAATACTTAAATTGTTAATTTAAATATAACATTATAGTGTCAACTTAAATATAAGTTTTAGTTTCATTTAAAAAACCAAAAAATATTTTGTAAATAGTTAAAAGTGATAATTGTAGTGATAAATGCAAAAACTAAATTGTAATATCAATTTAACTAAAATATTTCCTAAAGATATTTTTATAATCGTTAAAAGTTTTCAAATAAGTAACTTAAAATAACTTACAATAACAATAATCAAAAATAACTTTATATAAATGATTATATTGTTACCTTTAAAATAAAAAAACAATGTTTAATGTTTTAAATAATTATAATGATAGAAATTAAAACATTAATAAATTTTAAAAAATTAATTAACAATAACAACTATAAATAACATTAAACCATATATTATATTTAATTTTATTCATGTGTAACTTGCGGGTAGAAGTCATTCAAACGATTGAAATTATGCAGTTATAATAGATGTATATATTATCATATAATTAAAAATAATTAATATATTATATCAATTTAGTATATGAATTATTATATCAAATTTAACAACAACGTTATTGTTATGTTTAAAAAAAACATATATTTGTAAAGACTTCAACTATATAAGTGTTTTTGCCAATGTTTTAAAAACCGGTTTGAACCGGCCGGTCGAACCGGGAACCGGGGAAGGGAGCGGTTCAACTATCACCGGTTTTACATCGATTTCTGAACCGGATTGAACCGACCGGTTTTTAGAAAAAACCTGGTTGAACCGGTCAAAATATACCGGTTGAACCGGTTAAACAAAATAAAAACACATAGAAAATAACCATTTGCATAATAAATTTTGGTGAATTTTTTCAAATCTATGTAGTTTTCTAAAAATAAAAGCATATGATAAATGTTATAAAGTTTTTAAAAGTATTTGGAGTGATCTACAACGTATTTGTATGTATATTTTTAATGCTTGACTTGTAAACGTCAAATTCATGATTTATATATCTTTATATGTATAGAAAAATAGAAAAAAATATGAAAATTATAAAAACTGGTTGACCAGCCGGTCGAACCGGTTAAACCGGTTGAACGGGAACCGACCACTATACCGGTTCAACTAAAAAACCGGTTTTTAAAACATTGGTTTTTGCACAAAGCGCGGACATTCGGCGTTGTGTTTAAATAAAAGCAAACAAAATCAAAATAGCTTTAAAATTTATGAATTCACTTTTTTTTTTCAATTTAGTTCATATTCGACGAATTTTATCGAATGACATAACAAATCAATTTCCACGGGCCTATCGGAGAACATTTTGACACAGATCACTGTGGCCGGATTCAGGGCGGGGAACACCGCCGTCACCACCACAGATGGCTTCAAACCACCATTTCATGCGACCTAGTCAACCTCTATCATCTTCCTCTACATCCTACTTCTACATCTTCGTCTCTATCATCGCCCTCACCTCTCTTTTTCTCCTCTCCTCTCACTACCTCGCCTATTACTCATCTCCGCCGGTAGTGCGCATCGAATCGCTCAAACCGACCAAGCAATACGTCTCTGTAAACAACGATGACAATGGAGCAGCATCAGCAGCCTGCGATTACTCAGAGGGCAAGTGGTTTTACGATCCGACAGTCAGACCTCCACGGTATGACGAGACGTGTAAGGAGATATACAAAGGCTGGAACTGCGTCGCTGGTAATAGATCCGGTGCGGCGGAGATTGTTAAGTGGCGTTGGCAACCTAATCACTGTGCACTTCCACAATTTGATCCACTTAGGTTTCTGGAATCATATAGGAACATCAGTATCGGTAAGAGACATAGTTATCATTAATATCAGAAGTCGAATCTCTGCGCGTTAATGTATTGCTCAGAGATTATTATTATGCAATTTTTAGTATACGCCGGCGTAGTTTACAAGTACAATGCCCCCTGATACTAACAAAAACACCTTACGCGGCTCTAAATTCCATCTCATCGGACTGGATGACCGGTGAACTAGTTTTGAACTTGCAGGAATTCTATAACTTCGTAGAAATTTTATAAGCACTTTAGATTAAGATAAGCTGGGTTCTTCCAAGTATCTGGAACTTACCTAGAGGTCCAAACTAAGAATCTACATTTGCTTATTGTGAGGACTTTGTGTTTTGTCAATGTTCAGAACTCTAATTATGTCTAAGCTTTCATGGTGACTCTTCCTCCCATTCTAGGGCTTCTTTCAGTGCAAAAACTGTAGTTTTTTCAATTTGCCAATGAATTCAATCTGCCTTGAACGTTTGATCAATGATAGCATTCTTGACTAGCTCTTACATTCAATAGGTAAAATCAGGTCACAATGCCACTAGTAATCATCTTCCTAGATTCAACATTACTAGTCAAAACTATACAATCTCTCAATACTACTAATATTGTAGTACACAATTATAAACTCTTTTGAAGATGCTATTTTGTAGACCTTATGAACTTTTAAACAGTGCAGGGTTTGTTGGTGACTCCCTAAACAGGAACATGTTTGTTTCTCTTTTCTGTTCTCTTCGACATGTCACTAGTGAAGTAAAAAAGTGGCGTCCAGCTGGCACTGATCGTGCCTTTACCTTTTTAAAATACAACCTCACTATCGCATATCACCGAACAAATCTTTTGGCACGTTATGGTAGGTAAGCTGTTTTTAGTATGTGACAAATGTTTCATTTATGAATCAACTTTTAGCAATGTCATTGTTTCCCTAGTGAAATGACCTTTTTGCCCTTCAGATGGTCGGCTAATACCAAAGGCGGTGAGCTGGAATCTCTTGGGTATAAGGAGGGTTACAGAGTTGATGTTGATGTGCCTGAAGGAACTTGGGCAGATGCTCCAAGTTTTCATAATGTTCTCATCTTTAACACTGGCCATTGGTAAACTTCACTCTCTTTTACAAATATAGACAATGTACTTACATATATTTATGTATATATTATTATATTGAATATGAATATTCCTCAGGTGGTGGGCCCCTTCCAAGTTTGATCCTATAAAATCCCCCATGCTTTTCCATGAAAATGGTCAACCAATTATACCTCCTTTATCTCCTGAAATTGGGCTTGATGTCGTATTGAGACGCATGGTACGTATTTTTAATTGAGATAAATTACAAGGAATAGAAACATACTTATATTATTGATAAAGAAACATATTTTTTATTTTAATTTTTAATTTTTTACACATAGGTATCCTACGTGGAAGAAAAGTCAAAACAAGGGACAGTTTTATTTTTTCGCACACAATCCCCAAGGCATTTTGAAGGTGGTGATTGGGATCAAGGTGGTTCTTGTCCACGTTCACAGCCATTATCACTACAAGAGGTAAGCTAATTACAGATTTGCCCCTTAATTTATTTTCTTGAAATAATTTTTTAAACATAATTCAGGTTGAAAAGTTTTTTTCTGTGGGAAATAATGGGACAAATGTGGAAACACGAATTGTGAATGAACACATACATGAAGCCATTAAAGGCTCTGCTTTTCGGTTACTTGATATTACACAAATGAGTGAATTTAGAGCAGATGCTCATCCATCATCAGCTGGTGGAAAGAAGCATGATGATTGCATGCATTGGTGCTTACCTGGCATTACAGATACTTGGAATGATTTATTCATTGCACAATTGAGTAGCATGACATAAAGGTATGTACTTAATCACTTAATGTTATCATCTTTAAATTTAAGATATATTTTACATTATATTAGTTTGATAAATTAGGTTCCCTTGACTTTGTATTAATCTTGTATTATACCATATATATTGCAACTGTTGAGTAAGTGTTAATCAAAAGGAAGTTCTAATTAGCAGACTGGATCATTATTGTTTTATGAGTAAATTACACGAATGGTCCTTATGGTTTGGGGTAATTTGCGCGCTTGGTCCCTAACTTATTTTTTTAACTCGGGAGGTCCCTACTATTTGTTTTTGTTACGCGCTTGGTCCCTGTCTTACCTAAAAAGACTATTATTTAAATAGGGAAAAATGGTGGGGTAGGTAAGGTAAGGTGAGAGAGTGGGGTTGGGGGTGTGTTTACTTAAATAAATTAAAAAATCAAGAGCAAAATAGTCTTTTTAGGTAAGACAGGGACCAAGTGCGTAACAAAAACAAACAATAGGGACCTTCTGAGTTAAAAAAATAAGTTAGGGACCAGGCGCGCAAATTACCCTAAACCATAGGGACCATTCGTGCAAATTACCGTTGTTTTATTGAGTAAGTTGCATTTTTTGTTCCTGAGTATAGTTGATTTTTTCAATTTTTATCCCCAAAAGTTTTTTTTTTTTTTTTTTTTTTTGCAATTTTGGTTCTTATTTTAGGTTTTTGGTCCCTGTTTTATGTAAAATGACTATTTTTGGGACCAAAATTGCAAAAAACTGTTATACACATGGACCAAAGATAGTCAGTTTACTTGGAACAAGGACTAAACATGCTACAAGAACTTCAAATAAGGAGCATAATTGCAAGAAAGACTTTTTTGGACCAAAATTGCAAAAATCAACTATACTTGGGGACTAAAAATGTACTTTCATCTATTTTATATGTATACATCAAATACTATTGGATACCAGGGTTAAGTGCAAGAAATAGCAATGTATAGCATTTTACTTCTATTTTTCCTCAAGGATCAAGAAATTGCAGGTTTTGGTCCTACAAAAGTTTTCTTTTTGTAATTTTGGTCCTTATATGAAGATTTTGTAACCTTTTTGATCCTTGTTCCAAGTAAAATGACTATATGTTACAAGAACAAACAAGGACCAAAATTGCAAGAGAAAACTTTCTAGGACCAAAACTACAAAAATCAGCTATACTCAGGGATCAAAATGTAATTTACTTTTTTCCTGTACTTTCAAATTATTTGAATTATGATGACATGGCACAAAGATGTCAAGATATAATAAACCGGAAAAATAGAAAGTACATTGCTATTTCTTGCATTTAGCCGTAGATATAATTTGGGTAGTTGTTGCGGAGAATCTGAACACCATGAATACCAATCATAATTATTATAAACATTTAATCACAATAAGAACACCACAAGGATCAATACTTTGGAAGATAACATTCTTTTGGGAGATTATTTTCAAATCTCTTATAATCTTGACAATAATCATAAATTAAGTGATATTTTCTAACCCATTTGAACAATCTCCTTTGCATCCATGTTAAAGAACTCAACTCCTCTTTATTCCACCAATTTGTTTCACTATTTGCTCTACAAAACCTTGCATTCCCTTTCCATATACACGCATCAATTGTGTAATTTGCAAATGATGCAATGAAAGGCCCCTTTGACCAGTCAATTTTGTCTTTACCTCCGTTTGTTGCCCAATTGCTACCTTCCCATAGGCTCATCTTGATGCTCATTGGTTGCCATCTAGGGTACGCTACCCCCTTGTCCGCATGATTTCTATATGTCCTTATGGGCACAAAATCCACCATAAAGCTGCTCAAAAAGACAAATCTATTAGACCGCATCATGACACGACATGATAAGACAAGACAGTCTTGTACTGTGTGTGATATTTGTACTGAAACTGAAACTGATGTGACGTGACGTGACTGAACAAGATAACAAAACAAATATATCAGACCGTATCATGATACGACATGACTGAACATGACATGACAATATAAAATAGTCTTGTCCTTTGTTTGTGTTTGGTATTTTTGTTTGAGTAAAACTGATGTGACATGACATGACATTATAAAACAAGCCAACAAGACAAATTTATTAGACTTTCGGGCATGACATTACAAAATCTTGTCCTGTGTTTGGTATCTGTTCTGGATGGGTGTTAGTGGGATAAAATGTCAATTTTTTTTGTCCCATCCAAAAATATGGGACAATACATCTCAAAAAAGACAAATCTATTAGAATATGATATGACACAACAAGACAAAGTTGTACTTAGTTTGGTATTAATCATATTAGTGGGACAAATGATTAATTTTTTTTTCTCACCAAAAAATGTGGGAGTTATTTGAAACATTTCAAGAATTTCAAGGAGTTTGTCATGACTCATGAAAAATGCTTACACGATTTGGTGAAGATTCCATAAAACAGAATACGTATGAAAATCCTTTGTGGGGTCAAACCATAAATGAATCCTCTCTTCTCTGTTGTCAAAACCATCAGCGTAAATATTTGTTTGAAGAATGTAAGGCTGGTCAAGTACATTTCCAAGGAACTCAAAGTCTATTTCATCTCGATTAGGTTGATCGGATGTAAGCTACATTTTCCAAAAAAAAAAAAAAAAAAAAAAAAAAAAAAAAAAAAAAAAAAAAAAGAACTTCAAATAAGTATTTTTTTTTAATTAAATGATTTAGAAAAAAATGAAGTTTTTATTTTAGCTTACATAAAATGCCAAGACTGTGCCTGCCGAGTGACCGGGTACCAACTTGATTTGCATGTCAAATTGGCCGAACAAAAACATGTCATTAGAAGCAAACGCCGAACCTAGAAATAATTGAAATGAAATCTGTTAAAAGAATTGGAATATGAAATAATTGTAATAATTCACTTTAAAAGTCTAATAATTTTTAAAGTTATACTTATATCTTTTAAATATCCCACTAAGGAACATGCCGAAGGTCTTGATGCACAAAAGAAGCATTTTTTTACCTGATTCTTGATCGAGCTTCAAGCTTCTTGATCGACCATCGGTAGAAGTGTTGACATGGCTAGGAGACCAAGTAACAAAGAAATCTTTATTGAAATCCCCGGTTGAAACAATTGAAGCAAATGAAATTTCTAATGAATGTAAGAGAAATATCCCACCAAGAAAAACATATTTGAAGAAGTTGTTCATGGTTTTTTCTTTCTTCGTGTCATAAAAGTTTAATAATGTCCCACATAACTATATATAATGTTGCATGAGGGTGCCAAAAGTATTTGAAAATATAATTTTCCATACAAAGAATATCTTTATATGGAAGTAAAGTGTTTAGATGTCAAATTACTTGGATACTCCAATTATTTCCAAACTATAGTATAAAAGATCTAGTATTATTGTCACAATGACTAAATGTTGTATATTACTCTTAATTTGGAGTTGCATTAAGGGGTTAAAATTGGATTTATCATTTTTTTTTTTGACATTTCTTGAAAAAGGAAGTTTGTGGGCAAAGGGAGATAATGCGAGGTTTCTTTCTTGTTAGGTTTTCTAAAGATGACTTGATCCTTCTTTGTATCAATTACAAATTATTCTTTCCCTCTTTTATGTAATTTTCTAAAAGAATTTTTTGTTGACATAAAATAATAAAACAATTACTTTCATTAAATTGGTAACAAATAATAATGGTAGTAAATTTGTTTGGATCATTGTAAGAAATCATGGATCCAAACATAGTGGACTCATCCTTGATTATGCCTACACGTTCTTTAACATAAAAGTCAATGATGCCACTACAAAGAAAAGGGCACCACAAGTTCCTTACACTAGATTTTTGTCACTTGAAATTGAGGAACAATTTGGCGTTGAGCTATATCTCACTCTTTGTAGCACTCATACAAACCACCCAACCCACCCTACATACCCACATTGGATTAACAAGAAACATCCGACCCTAATCATCCTCTATATTATGACTTATCAAAGTTGGCGTTGTCTTAACTAACTATTGATTGGTTGGTGACAAAAAAAGATAAGTTCAAAGCTTTGGGATTTAAAACAGACAAACCTGAAACTGAACCAGGAAAAAACTAAAAATTAAGACCCGAACTAACCTGTTTTCGGTTTGGGTTTTGTTTTATATAAAAACCGAATCACACTCATCCATAAATCTGAACGTTATGATAGCCCAACCTAACCTTAGCCATGGAGTATCCTTCAAACAACATGCTACCATTAATATGGAAGTATAGGACAACCCACATCCGAGCAACCTTCCCAAAAGGACTTGCTCAAACTTTTAATAGTAATAATCACTTGCAAATAATACAAGTTGAGACTAGATTTCAATCCCCAACTACCTTTTATAATGGCTAGAATATGTAAACATAAAGTGAACAACTAGTAATAAATAAATGAACAATATTAAGGATATCATTTTATCTAAACTTTAAACAATAAATAAAAAAGACTAATCAACAAGTCAATAACTAAACCATATGTCAAAAAATATCAAACTTTAATGAAATGTCATGATTATTATTTTTGTTTTGATAGATCTGCCATGTTATCGTGCATAGGATCTTCATCTTTATCATGTTGTTGTCTAACACGCTTACTAGTTGACCTTAACCATCATTACCATCACCATAAATGTAGCATCCTCGTTTTAGGGTAAAACTTTAAATTTTATTAAATAAATAAATGAGATTATGATCATTAAATAAATAACTATTGAGGAAAATAATTATGATTTTGTAAGTTTTTTTTAACTTATAGACTTTAAATAAAAAAAATAAGGAAGGACTAGAAGTGTCAAGTAACCGAACTTGCCATAAATATTCTTGATTTAGTTAAAGGACTAAAATGTGAGCTTAAGTGATGGAACGGGTTTTGAGTGTAAATCATGAGAATTTATTTAAAGGTTTATGACTAACGGTGGCAAAAATTGGAAATACGAAATAAAAAGAAGGGCTATTATTTCCAAATGACCACTGATATATAAGCTAGTACCTAGTCCCCCTACTTAAAGACAAGGATCGATATTTGGAGAATGAAGCTCTCTCTTATGGCTATTTGAAGAGAAATTGGTGTTTTTGTGTGAGATTTGAGGGATAATTTGAGCTAAGTATGAATGATCACACTTCAGATGTAAGACTTTATTATTCTAGAAATGGGATTTTGATTTGGATTTAGTATTTGGATATTGAAACATTGTAACAACAACTATTATATAATGTTTTGATATATTGGGATATGATCATCACATTAATACTTGGTGTGTTCTATACTAACATGTTTAATCCATGGATAATCTTATTATT